TAGGTTTGCCTCATCCACGGTGACGTCGCGCACACATCGTAAGCTCACACGAGTAACGTTTGCTGCGTCGTAAGCTCACATGAGAAACGTTTGCTGCGTCAAGCTCACACGAGTAACGTTTGCTGCGTCGTAAGCTCACACGAGAAACGTTTGCCTGTGTCGTAAGCTCACACGAGAAACGTTTGCTGTGTCGTAAGCTCACATGAGTAACGTTTGCTGTGTCGTAAGCTCACACGAGAAACGTTTGCTGTGTCATAAGCTCACACGAGAAGCGTTTGCTGTGTCGTAAGCTCACATGAGAAACGTTTGCTGTGTCGTAAGCTCACATAAGAAACGTTTGCTGTGTCGTAAGTCACACGAGAAACGTTTGCTGCGTCGTAAGCTCACACGAGAACGTTTGCTGCGTCGTGCTCACACGAGAAACGTTTGCTGCGTCGTGCTCACACGAGAAACGTTTGCTGCGTCGTAAGCTCACACGAGAAACGTTTGCTGCGTCGTAAGCTCACACGAGAAACGTTTGCTGCGTCGTAAGCTCACACGAGAAACGTTTGCTGCGCCGTAACCTCACAAGAGAAACGTTTGCTGCGTCGTAAGCTCACACGAGAAACGTTTGCTGCGTCGTAAGCTTCCAAACGAGAAACGTTTGCTGTCAAGTTCATATAAACAAACGGTGTTGTAACTGGGAAACAAATATTGATGACAGACAGACAGAGACACACACACATGACGACTATACCAAACAGGTAAAACGGGACATAAAACGCACACGTGAGGATCTACAGACGCACATGTAGACTGTAACCACACATGTACGCGATAACGTCCATCTGGAACCAATGAGATGTACACAGGGAGATGTATACATGTATAAGCAACATGACTGAAACACACACACACACACACACACACACACACACCTCACACCAGACAGAATTCTCCCACACAAAGAAATATATACTAACACACACACGCAGACCAGACCCACCCCCACACCCCCACACACACACACCCCCACAGCACCACACCCCTACACAGCACCACCCCCCACACAGCACCACCCCTACACAGCACCACCCCACACAGCACCCACCCTCAACAGCACTACCCCTACACAGCACCACCCCCACACAGCACCACACCCCCACACAGCACCACACCCCTACACAGCACCACCCCTACACAGCACCACACACCCCCTACACAGCACCACCCCCTACACAGCACCTCACCCTACAGCATCACCCCCACACAGCACCACACCCCCTACACAGCACCACCTCCTACACAGCACCTCACCCCACAGCATCACCCCTACACAGCACCACACCCCCACACAGCACCACCCCCACAGCACCACACCCCCTACACAGCACCACCCCTACACAGCACACCACCCCCTACACAGCACCTCACCCTCTACAGCATCATCCCCTACACAGCACCACCCCCTACACAGCACCACCCCCCACACAGCACCTCACCCTCTACAGCATCACCCCCTACACAGCACCACACCCCTACACAGCACCACCTCCTACACAGATGTATGAATTTGACCAGTAGATGACGCGAGAGGTAGACCCGTGGACGAACACATCAGTCACAGTAAGTTAAAGACAGGCTGACAGGAGTAATGGAGAGGAGGAGAAGGGAAGAGAGGAGGAGGAGGAGAAGGAAGAGAGGAGAGGAGGAAGAAAGGAGAAGCAGAAGGAGAGGAGGAGGAGAGGAGAGGAGAAGCAGGAAGAGAGGAGAGGAATCAAGAAGAGCAACAAAAAGACGGTACATAATTTTAGTGCGTGGTACATCTGCCAGTCCCCAAGAATACCTGCTGCGTGGGTATAATTAGTTCTTTTTCACCTCTATAATCTGCGGCCTATCAGCTGGGTTAGGTTAGGTTAGTAACACGGAGTTTAATTATCAGGTGAACTAAGCTGTTGAGTTGCCTAATATTCTCGACCACCACCTCACACACTCACGCACATACACACACACATGCACTCACACACATGCACGCACACACACAAATGCACGCGCGCACACACACACACACACACACACACACACACACACACACACACACGACCATCAACAACAGCACCGTTCACCCTATTCCACCGCTCGACGCAATGCTATCCACCCAATTCACGAACACTCTGCCCCATACAGTGCCACGAACTGATCGCTATTAGAACAGCCCAGTCCCAACCATTGTAAAAATTATCAATAACTTGTAATAAACCAGTGTATTCACTCCCAGTTAACACTACCCTTGCACTGTCACTATGTTGTGAACTGTAGTTTGAGATTTTCCCCATCTAGTTATTATATATCTTATTAGTATCACTTATGTTACTTGTATATTATTTGTAATTCGTAACCCATTCCCCAAATATGTAACTATATATTTTCAGCCTTCTGGCTGCCAAGCCTTTTCAATAAACCGTTAATTATTATTATTATTATTATTATTATTACAATGGTCCTACAACAGTGGCACAATGGCCTACGAACAGTGGCACAATGGTCCTACGAACAGTGGCACAATGGTCCTACGAACAGTGGCACAATGGTCCTACGAACAGTGGCACAATGGTCCTACGAACAGTGGCACAATGGTCCTACGAACAGTGCACAATGGTCCTACGAACAGTGGCACAATGGTCCACGAACAGTGGCACAATGGTCCTACGAACAGTGCCACAGTGGTCTACGAACAGTGGCACAATGGTCCTACGAACAGTGGCACAATGGTCCTACGAACAGTGGCACAATGGTCCTACGAACAGTGGCACAATGGTCCTACGAACAGTGGCACAATGGTCCTACGAACAGTGGCACAATGGTCCTACGAACAGTGCCACAATGGTCCTACGAACAGTGGCACAATGGTCCTACGAACAGTGGCACAATGGTCTTACGAACAGTGGCACAATGGTCCTACGAACAGTGGCACAATGGTCCTACGAACAGTGGCACAATGGTCCTACGAACAGTGCACAATGCCTACGAACAGTGCCACAGTCCTGAACTGTGCCACAATGGTCTTCAGAACAGTGGCACAATGGTCCTACGAACAGTGGCACAATGGTCCCACGAACAGTGCCACAATGGTCCTACGAACAGTGGCACAATGGTCCTACGAACAGTGGCACAATGGTCCTACGAACAGTGCCACAATGGTCTTACGAACAGTAGCACATGGTCCTACGAACAGTGGCACAATGGTCCTACGAACAGTGGCACAATGGTCCTACGAACAGTGCCACAATGGTCCTACGAAGCGGCACAATAGTCCTACGAACAGTGGCACAATGGTCCTACGAACAGTGGCACAATGTCCTACGAACAGTGGCACAATGGTCCTACGAACAGTGGCACAATGGTCCTACGAACAGTGGCACAATGTCCACGAACAGTGGCACAATGGTCCTACGAACAGTGCCACAATGGTCCTACGAACAGTGCCACAATGGTCCTACGAACAGTAGCACAATGGTCCTACGAACAGTGGCACAATGGTCCTACGAACAGTGGCACAATGGTCCCACGAACAGTGGCACAATGGTCCTACGAACAGTGGCACAATGGTCCTACGAACAGTGGCACAATGGTCCCACGAACAGTGGCACAATGGTCCTACGAACAGTGGCACAATGGTCCTACGAACAGTGCCACAATGGTCCTACGAACAGTGCCACAATGGTCCTACGAACTGTGCCACAATGGTTCTACGAACAGTGCCACAATGGTCCTCATGAACAGTGGCACAATGGTCCTACGAACAGTGCCACAATGGTCCTACGAACTGTGCCACAATGGTTCTACGAACAGTGCCACAATGGTCCTACGAACAGTGGCACAATGGTCCTACGAACAGTGGCACAATGGTCTTACGAACAGTGCCACAATGGTCCTACGAACAGTGGCACAATGGTCTTACGAACAGTGGCACAATGGTCCTACGAACAGTGGCACAATGGTCCCACGAACAGTGGCAATGGTCCACGAACAGTGGCACAATGGTCCTAGAACAGGGCACAATGGTCCTACGAACAGTGCCACAATGTCCTCGAACAGTGGCACAATGGTCCTACGAACAGTGCCACAATGGTCCTACGAACAGTGCCACAATGGTCCTACGAACAGTGCCAATGGTCTTACTAACAATACTACAATGGTCTTACTAACAATACCATAATGGTCTTACGAATAGTGCCACATGACCCTACTGTGCCACAATGGTCATACAGTGCCGCAAAGGTTCAACAGTGCCACATGGCCCTACTGTGGCACAATGGTCCTAAAGTGCCCCATAACTGCCAACAGAGTAACAGTGAGTCTACAGTACCACAAACTGTTTGGAGGCCAACACAAACAAGTTAACAGTGCAGTGCCACGAGCGCCACTGTGGCTCCATAAACAAGAGAGGAGCAGCCTTACAAGTGTCACTGGCGGCCCCTCAAAGACCCGGGATGTGGCACTAGTCACCAAGGGTTGTGGCACTACACACAAAACATCAGGAGCCGCTGGCACTACAGATCGTAAGGAACATGACCGTGTACAGTGTTGTGAGGAGAGAAGCTGTACTGATGGTGCGTGTTAGCATGAGGGCGTGGGCGTGCGTGGGGGAGGAGGGCGCGCGGGCGTGCGGGGGCAGGCGCGGCGCCTGGCAGCACAACAACCATCTCGGTGGCAGCCGTAAATCTGAGTGTGACTGCGGCGGCTGTGAGCGGCGGCGCCTACTGTGAGTGGATGAGCCAGAGATAATCCTGCTGTAGTGGCACCCGCCCGCTGCCCTCCCTCACGAGGGGAACAACCAGGGTACATAGGTTGTCTTACCTGTATGAATGCCCTCGGCGGGGCGGTGGCGGCGAGAGGAGAAGGCGCCCCACACAGTCACCTCCTCTCCCGTGTACTTTCCGTGACGATCCTGAATAGGGACGGCGACCGTGACGAGGGCACGGCGCCCCCAGGAGTGCTGCCCCTGGGGCGGGCTGCTGGGCGGCGAGCCCCAGGAGATGCAGCAAGAGGGCGGCGACGACCCCGCCAGGTGCGGCCAAGGCGGGAGAGGCTGGCGCGAGGCCGACATCAGCGAACACGACTAACTCCTCCCACCATCACTGTCGCTACCACACTGGCCCGGCCCGGCCCGCCTCAACCCCGGCCCCGCCACCTCACCCAGCACCGCCCCGCCACCCACCCAGCACCGCCCCACCCCTCACCCAGCACCGCCCCGCCACCCTCACCCAGCACCGCCCTGCCACCCTCACCCAGCACCGCCCCCGCCACCTCACCCAGCACCGCCCCGCCACCCTCACCCAGCACCGCCCCCGCCACCCTCACCCAGCACCGCCCCGCCACCCCTCACCCAGCACCGCCCCGCCACCCTCACCCAGCACCGCCCCGCCACCTCACCCAGCACCGCCCCGCCACCCTCACCCAGCACTGCCCCCTGCCACCCTCACCCAGCACCGCCCGCACCCTCAACCCTGCACCGCCCGCCACCCCTCACCCAGCACCGCCCCCTGCCACCCTCACCCAGCACCGCCCCGCCACCCCTCACCCACCCCCGCCCCGCCACCCCTCACACACACCTCACCCGCCCCCACACCCTCACACACCTCACCCGCCCTGCCACCCTCACCCCCACCCCGCACCCTCACACACACTCACCCGTACCGCCACCCTCACACACACTCACCCGCCCCCACCCTCACCACCGCCCCCGCCACCTCACACACACCACCCGCCCCCACCTCACCACCCCTGCCCCACCCTCACCGCCCCTGCCACCCTCACTCCCACCCCGCCACCCCTCACCCCTGCCCCACCCTCACACACACACTCACCCGCCCCTGCCACCCTCACACACACTCACCCGCCCCGCCACCCCACCCCGCCCCCGCCACCCTCACACACACTCACCCGCCCCGCCACCCCTCCACACACCTCACCCGTACCCGCCACCCCCACCACCGCCCCGCCACCCCTCACACACACACTCACCCGCCCCTGCCACCCTCACCACCGCCCCCCACCCCTCACACACACTCACCTGTCCCACACCCCTCACACACACCCACCCGCCCCGCCACCCCTCACCACCGCCCTGCCACCCCTCACACACACACCACCCGTCCGCCACCCTCACCACCGCCCTGCCACTCACACACACTCACCCGTCCTGCCACCCTCACCACCGCCCCGCCACCCTCACACACACCACCCGTCCCGCCACCCCTCACCACCGCCCCGCCACCCTCACACACACACCACCCGTACCGCCACCTCACCCCCGCCCGCCACCCTCACACACACTCACCTGCCCCGCACCCTCACCACCGCCCCGCCCCACACCCCCTCACTTAGTCTTCGGCCCGCATGGGAGAAGCGTGTATTTGGCACCACTAACGTAGCTGCCTGTCACCCCCCCCCCAGTAGTCATCACACCCAGTAGACATCACCCCCACCAATACACATCACCCCCACCAGTAGTCGTCACCCCCACCATTAGTCATCACCCCCACCAGTACACATCACCCCCACCAGTAGTCATCACCCCCACTAGTAGTCATCACCCCCACCAGTACACATCACCCCCACCAATACACATCACCCCCACCATTAGTCATCACCCCCACCAGTACACATCAACCCCACCAGTAGTCAACACACCCCCACTAGTAGTCATCACCCCCACCAGTACACATCACCCCCACCAATACACATCACCCCCACCAGTAGTCGTCACCCCCCACCAGTAGTCATCACCCCCACCAGTAGTCATCACCCCCACCAGTTGTCATCAACCCCCACCAGTAGTCATCACCCCCACCAGTCATCATGACCCCCACCAGTAGTCATCACCTCGCACACACAAAGTCCTCACCGTTGCTTCTATCTTACAATTATTCACAAACAAACTATAATCTACATTTTTAAATATATTCACAAAACCTCTAAACTTACCGCCTA